CGAATATAGGCGAACATCACAAGACAATCCACTGTGAAGGGAATCGAAAAAAGGGGTATCGTATGGTCGGCCCCGTCCGACTATACTGCTCCGCTCACTGGTTTTTTCATATATGTATGTTCAATACTCAAGTTGAATTGATATATATGTGGTTATGCGTATCGTTCCCATTTTTTTCGTTACAAAAAAACCTCCACTGTGCCTCTATGAGAGTTATTTAAATTTTAACAACAACAAAAAGCCTATTCAAATAACAATTTCTGGTATGTTAAACACTTAATTTACACACTAACTGATTTTCATTGATTATCTAAAACTAAAAATAGAGTAACATCTGCCAATAATGGTAGTTTACATTGATGACTGGATGTCTTTGATGCTGCTGATGTTGATGGCAATTCCAATGCCATCTGTATCAATCTCCAAATGATCACACCGAAAAAAAGAAAAAACTTGTATAACGGGTGCTGGTGGACGCCACAGCTAGTATCATGGGAACATAGATCTAATTACATATTTTTGTACAGTACAACGAAATATGTTAGTCGCTTTGTCTAGGCTAGACAACTTGTCAATCTGGTGGCCTACGTGCAGTTTGCACGTAAGCCATCTCTAGACAAAAGGAAATTATGTTTGCTAACCAATCAACAAACTAAACTTGATCAGGTTACAAAGTTACAGCCTGTAACTGAAATAAGCCTTGAAATGAATGGCATTGCATTTCTTAGAACACCAACGCCAAAAGAAAAGTCAAAGAACCTTTTGTTGCAGAATCCATTCCGCAAAAGAATCCACGACCATTGATTGTGTGTATAATTTCACGTAGGCATGATGTCAAGGAAGTTACTCTTTTATGTTTTCATTATCCTTGTATGCACATTCGGTGACGTCTTTGTTGTTGTTAAACCAAAAACATTTTAAATTCTTACATTGCCAAGAACACTGTAATCAGACGGTGGTTATTGCCATGATGCGTACCCATCCCTCTGTACATAATAATTTATGTGCATTAACAAAATATTGAACACGCGCAAATAATTGATTTATGCGATGCTCCTATAAATACAAGTTCGTATTTTTTTTGGTAATTTTATTGGTCAACAGGGGATTTCCTTTTTGGTAAGGTATATTTTTTGTGGCTAACACTGGCGGCATATGTAAATAAATAAAATAAATGCCCGTCCATGTCTGCATATGATTTATGGGGTTTTTGTTTCAGGACATACACATATTTCTTACAAGTTGAAGGTCATAAGGAAATGCTAATCGTAATTTAAATTTCATAAATTTCCTTTTCAATAGCGTCTAAAAATTCGGAAAAATTAATACTTAAAATATGAACTATGTCGCAGGATAAGAATCAAACACGAAAGTGAATTATGTTTGTGGTAGCCGGTACAGATGGGTATATGCAGGAAGTATTTTAACAATTGCACTGTGATACATTTTTCAACATAAAAATCTTGAACCAATGTGGACCGATGTATTGAGTTTCACTTATTAGCAATGGTGTACCCCTTAATAAGATCTACAAATTTTGCTTTGAGATTAAATCGAAAAAGGCAATTTTCTAAGAAAATAAATTGCCTAGGTCCAACATTTTGTTATTTTTTGTTATAATCCTTGCTCTTTAATGGGGATCTCTTTTAATGGGGATCGGATGTTCCCGTGATCAGAAATCATGCACAACAACAATACAATAATAAAATTTTATCAATGCATTGTCTTCTCCTTTAAGACTTCTAATACATGAATATTGAGTAACTAGTCTTAAAAAAATTAAGTCCATATAAGCACAAAGGTAGGGCAAACAATACATTGGCAAATGTTCTGATTTCACAACAACAGAGCAAAACAATGTTAAGAGCTATATCGCAATTATATAAAACATATACGGTATATTATTAAGTCTTTACTGTTTCTATGTCGTTGGGCACCTTAGAAGAGCACGTACGAAAACCATTTGTAGGTCTTTCATAGGGAGAAGACCTTATGCAGGTCGACCTTTTACAGACAGAAGACCTTTTGTAAGTTGTTTTTATATACAGAAAACCATCCATATGTCTTACGAAAGGTCTTCTGTACATACCATTCTCCTCTATATACAGAAGAATTTCTACTGTTCTACTTAGATAGAAGAACTTCAGCATTTTACAGATTAGACCCTCTATAGATAATCTTCAATAGATCAAATATTAGGTTGGGGAAAAAGAAAATTATTATTTCTTCGGCAGATAGCTGTACTGATAGATTTCTCATAAAATATCTATCAAACAATTTCAGAATTATGCTCGTTGGAAGGGTGACATTTCGCAATAAAAAAATACTTGAATGTAGGGCAAATATTTTGCGAAAATGCAATCCAAGCGGCTAAAATTGTGAATGGTTTTTTTGGTTCCGATACTTTGATGTTAAAGATGCACCTCACGCAGGTAGGCCGGTCGTGTTGAAAATAAGCTCGATGTTTGGTGACACACCAATTAACAAAAAAAATAGGATGGATCGAATTTCCATCTGTGAAGCCCTGTGCGAAAACGATCGTGCGAAAAAGAACAGTAAAGCACCTCAAACGGTAGCCAAACCAGGACTAACGGCCAGAAAGGTTCTGCTATGCATTTGATGATTTTGATTTATTATGAGTTGCCGACAACTGGACCGTTTGAAGATAGCAATTAACCAGAAATAGCCAGATTTGGTCAACAGGAGAGGTACTGATCGCGTACCCAATCGTAGAGGCTATTCATAAAAAAATACTAAAGGATTTCAAATTGGAAGAATAATGCACTTAAAAGAGACTTCGATCTATAGAAGACCGGAAAAAGGTGTTTCGTTTTAAAAGATAACCATATCTTAATTTTTTGGAACCTGAGAAACTTCCATAATCTATATAAAACTGCGGCAATGCGAATATTTGTAGGCACCTCCGAGGAACACAGACGGAAAACTATCTTCAGATCGTTCAAAGACTGAAGACTATATGTAGATCGAAGTTCTACAGAGGTCAACAGGAGAGGTATCGTGTTCCACCAGGACAACACTAGGCCACAGACATCTACAGTGACTCGTCATAAACTTCGGGAGCTTGATTGGGAAGTTTTAATGTATCTGCTATATAGTCCGGACTTGGTACCAAGCGATTATCATATTTTTCTTGCATTGCAAAATTTGTTTAATGATAAAAAATGATATCTAGGGAGAATTGTGAAAATCGACTACTAGAGTTTTTTTTGCAAATAGAGAGCAGGACTTCTATGAGAGAGGCATTATAAAGTTACCTTTAAAATGGCAACAAATCATACATCAAAACGGTGCATATCGGACATTCCAAGGCATGTTAAATAAAGTCGTATAGTTCATATAAAAATAATGGATTTCTTTTCCCTAACCTATTATAATGTTCCATGTCTTCACGTAGCCCCATATAAAGGTCTTGGTATTTGGAAGTTTTAGACCGATTTTTCCCATCGAAGTGGTTGCAATTTGGAACTTCGGGTCCTTGGGTGGGGAAAAACCATGAACAAAATCGTTGCAAAAATAGTTTGATAATGTTTTGACATATCCATCATAGGATGCATCCGGCGCATTCAGTGTATTTTAAAGGCTTTGGCTGAATTCTCCTCCAAATTGGCTCATTTTGGGGTCTTCGAGAACATTTTCTATATAGGTCCATATTGTTCCCTATACCTAGCCAATTTTTTTTCAAAGGCTTACACACAATACAATTCTCGAACATAGCCACATTTTTACTTGTTTTGTTTTTTTGAATCATCATGTGGAGGGTATAAAAAGTTCGACCGGCTTGAACTTAACGACGTCTTTAAATGTTGACTGCTACTAATCAAAGTTTTTCATCTAAAATAGAATGGTTGCCCCTTCAGAATTTAGTTGCCTTATAATTATTACTATCCATAATGGAAAATAAAACATCAACGATTATTTTTTTTATTTTTTTTTTTTTAATTTTTTTACTTTCACAGTTTACTTATTTCTTTCTTGATACATTTTTAATGTGTGGTTCCAATGTTCGGGATGATGGTTAGATATGTAGATAATGGTAATTGCTTTGCAGCTATAAATATCCCACGTGAATTGTTTCAATAATCAATAAAACATAACAAGAAATGTAAAATAATCTTAAAATTTATATTTTTTGTATTTTTTTAATTTTTTATTTTATTTTTTTTATTTTAACTTTGATAGAAGGCTACTGGCGCCCACATCATCATCACTACTAAACCTATTACAAATTCACTTAAAAACTAAAAGTTTTATGCAGACACACACATACTTAACGAGACAGTGCTGCATAACAAAAATGTGTGTATGTATGTATGAATATGAATATGTTGCTTATTCATATTCATAATAATGTAAATAAAAATATCAAATAATAATAATAATAATATTATTATTATAATAATAAGCAAAAAATATTTATTTTTAATGAATCATTTTAAGCGCTTTTACTTTTTTGTATGTATGTGTGTTTGTTTGTTTGATTTGTGTGTGTTTGTGTGTTTCAAAGAAGAAAAAGTGCTCACCACTAAAACTAATAATGTTTTTGTTTTTTTGTTGGTATGTGTTTGTGTGTGAATTGCATCATTGTACCCCTGCTTATAAATTAAATATTTGTTTATGTTTTTGTCGGTTTTTTTGAGAGCCATGTAAATGATCAAAACCCGTATTTCTAGAGAAATTTTACAACAACAGCAGCAGCCGTCAGCCAGCCAAGAAACCTTGGCCAATATGATGAAATTATTTTCAAGCCACGCCACTGCTTGTGTTGTTGTTTTTTTTCGGCCAATATACAAAATATTTGTTTGTCTTTTTTTTTAATAATTATTAAAAAATATATATTTAGATATAAATAAGTATAGTATATACGATATATGTATGTTTGCTATTGGCCCCACACAAATTATAGTCAAATTATAAAAATGATCCCCTTCTTCATTGTCGCGGGGGATATTCTGCTTCCTGCCTTTCTTCAGCGACTTTACTTAAGCTAAAATCATTTTCTTTGAAAGATTTTCATTTTCATCCAATTTTGTGCTCTCTGTACTCGACGATTCGGCATCATCATCACATTCGTATTCTGGATCGGGCACCTCAGGCAAATGTTCATGATGATGGTCGTGTTCAGCATCGGCGACTGAGGGATGGGTACCATCACCATATTTATCCAAGGTACGTTTAACCAAATCCTTTGTGGGTTCTTTACGGTCCCAGCACCAACCCAGCTTGGCGAAGCCATCCAAGAACATAGTGGTGAAATTCAAGGAGTATTTGCCCAATTCAGCTGCTTTGTAATCCCAGGGGAAGACATGATGATAGTTGTGCCAGCCCTCACCCATGGCGACGAATGAAACCAAAACATTTTCTCTGGGGTTGATGCGCCTGTAAAGAGAGAAAAAACATAAATCCCAAGCTCTTCTGTCCTTCTCCTCCATGCCAACTTACTTATCATAGGGACGTGTACCCCACAAATGGGCGGCACTGTTCACCGACCAGGTGAAATTCAACGAATACACATAACGGAACACACACTGCATAATGAAGCTGATGTACCACTCCTCACCCCAGAAGTAGACGGGAATCACAGTGGGAAGAATGAAACAGCACAACATTTTCAATGGAATGAAATATTTCTCATGGAAACGAACAACAGGATCAGCCAACACATCGCTCATATCCAATTGACGACCACGTCTCAACACTTCAGGATGTTTGTGCATCATCAACCAGCCGACATGAGCAAAGAAAAAGCCACGATTTGAATTGTGAGGATCAGCATCGGTTTCCGAATACTTGTGATGTACTCTGTGATCGCGTACCCAATCGTAGAGGCTATTCTGTGGGTTTGCAAAGGGAAGGGGAAAGGAGAAAAAATGGTATTAGTAAAAAATATAAACATTTAGATTCTTAGAAAAAATTACATTTGGGAGGCTAATAGAACTGCGGAAGGAATAAGATCTATAAAAGACCGGAAAACGAGTTTCTTTTTAAAATATAACCATGTCTTCATTTTTTTGTTGAGACCTGAGAAACTTATACTGTTTATATACAACTGCACCAGGGTGAATATAAGTAGACACCTCCGAGGAACACAGACAGAAAATAATCTTCAGAGCTTTCATAGACTGAGGACTATATGTAGGTCGAACTTCTACCGAAGACGAATTTTTGATAAGTCTTCTTCGTATGGAATACCTTCTGTATACAGAAGGCCTTCAATAGACACAAATCGTTCTGAGAGTCTTCTTCTATAGACATAACATTTTATCCTAGTCTTCCTTAGGCAAGGAAACATTCAATGGGTATTTTATCTATGTAATACCTGCTCTACAGGTTTTCTAAAGACAGAATTCGTTCTATAGCCAGCACACCTTCTACAGTGTACATCCTCTATACACGCAAAACCTTCAGAAGGTCATTTCGGACGGAAGACCTCTTTTACGTCTTCTATCCTCTAGGTCTTCCATAGTATTTCAGTATTTTATAGACAGAAGACCTCGTTCAGGTATTCTATATAGGAAAAAAACCTCCTTCAGAACATAGACCGAAGACATTCTGCAGGCCTTTCATAAACAGAAGATCTTTGGCAGGTCTTCTAAAGACAGAAAACCTTCTGTAGGTCTTCCACAGACAGAAGACCTCTTTTAGGTATTTTATAAATAAAATACTATTTTCAGGTCTTCTATATAGAGAATACATTCTTCAGATATTCTTTAGACAGATGACCTCTCCCTGGTCTTCTATAGAGAGTAGACCTCCTTAGGTCTTCTACAGACAGGAGTCCTTCTTTAGGTCTTCCGTAGACAGAAGTCCTTCTTCAAGTTTTCTATAGACAGAAGTGCTCTTTCAGGCTGCCTAACGACATGAGGCGTTTTTTCAGATCTTCTATTGATTAAAGAATTCCTTCGGGTCTTATATAAACAGAAGACCTCCTTCAGATATTCTATAGGCAGTAGACCTCCTTCAAGTCTTCTAAAGACAGAAGACCTTATTCAGGTCTTCTATTAACAATAGTCCTTTTTCAGGTCTTCTACAGACAGAAGACGTTATTCAGGTCTTCTAAAGAATGAAGACCTCCTTCAGATCTTCTATCAGGTATTTTATAGACAGGAAAGCTCCTTCAGGTCTTGTATAGACAGAAGACGTTTTTTAAGTTCCCTATATACATTTGACTTCCTTCAGGTTTTCTATAGGCAAAAGAGCTTTTGCAGGTCGTCTATAGACAGACAACCTTCTACCGGTATTCGTACATAGAACACTATCTTCAACAACAAATTTAGGGGAGCTCGTACATAACGGTACTACCCAATATTCGGTATATTGAGGGTTTCAGACCCGTTTTTGGCATGGTAAAACTCAATACTTCCATGGAACATATTCTATATGACAGCTCGAAGACTTCAACAGGTTGGATGCCTTCTAATTCAAGACGTAATTCAAGGTCCTAGCACCTAAGTGTCTGTAATTTTGTACTTCTAGTACTTCTTCTTCTTAATATAACACAGCTCCCCTATATAAAAGCACCGATGGATTTTAGGTTTTTTGCATGCTCACCTCATAAAATTATTCTATGGACCGAATTTTCTCTAAGACTTCTACAAATGGGTAGCGTGGTATATTTCTTCCGAGAACGGAATTTCTTCAATATGTCTTCTATCTGGGTATAACCTCCACTAGGATTTCTATAGAGTCTCTAGGTTGGTATTAAATTTTCTTCTGCCTGCAATCAATCCCCATATAAATGTCCCAATCCATTTGTAGGTATTTTCAATATCCACCTCATGGGGAATCTTTAAGTTCGGCAAGGGAAGCAAAGTTTTTATTTGTTTAAAATTCTTCTTTTACGGATAGAAAGCCTTGTATAGATTTTCGCGATAACGGAATTATTTCGGTAGGCCTCCTCTATGCTATCTATATATTAGTATTTCGTTGCCTTTTGGATTTAAATGTACAGGCCATGTCTACGACTTCGATACATATTAAGATTTGTAGAGATCTTCCAAAGACGGAATTACTTCCCTAGGTTTTCTATTCGGATAATACCCCACTAGGTTTTCTATAGAGACACTTCCAGTTCTTCTGTGGGCAGGTGTCCCAATAAAAGGCTTTCTATAAGAAGTAGGGCAAAGTTCTGCTGTTTAGAGCTCAGAAATTATTTCTTTCTAAAAAATATTTTTATGTCTAACAGTGTGTCAAATCCACATTAACCCATTTTAATATCCATAAAAATAGATTTTGAGATTCCGTAAATAAAATTCTTTGAATTTTTTACTTTTGCAGCATCTATTGCCTAACGACATTAGCAAAAACATAATCTTCATCATTAGGCTGGTCATTAATTTTTATGACAATTTCATAGACAAATGTCATCATCAGCATTACGGCGAACATTGTTTTTAATGTCATCCTATAATGGGATTTCTAACACAGTAGGTAATATCGTAACGAATAAAAACTACAAAGTTTATAGCTAACACAAAGCATGAGTGTTGTTTATGCCTACATCTATTGAACCGGGCATGTCTACAGTCATCGTAACTATCATGTCTTGGAAATTAAAAATCATAAACATTTCAAATTGAAATCATAGGCCCACAATATTTTATATTCTTGAAAATATGTATTCTAAATGATATTCGGTTGTAATAAGGTCTGACCAATATGAAATAAAAATTATGTATTTTAGAGGTACAAGACTGCAATATCTTGATAATATTTTCCCCACCAGATATTGAGTATTTGGGATTTATCTATTTCAATATACAATTTTTTATTCCCAGATCAACTATTTTTGGCTATAATATTTTTTTCCAATTTCCCTTGAAATCCAATCTGCCTTAGATGCATTTCAGGGACGTTTTCTTTTACTACCCACATATAGGCATACAAATATACCTATTTAAATATTTTAAAAATAAAAAAATTTTGTTTTGAATACGTTTGAACACTTACCTGACCAGCTGCCGTATAGCACAGCATCAATATAATACGCAATGGTAAATTCGCCTTAAACGAACGATGAGTCCAATAACGATGAGCACCACCGGTAACACCAAAACCAACAATGCCACCCATTAAATAGGCTGTAAAATAAAATAAAAAAATAATTTTAATTCGATATTCAATCAAACTATTTATAGAAAAAAAAAAACATAAAAATAAATACAATTTGGAAACTAGTTGTCTATGAATACCATATACGTATTACAACATTCAAGAAACGTTGTCCTTGAAGACATTTTTAAGAGGTTAATCAATGAGAAGCAAATAAAATTAGTTGTTACAATTATCACATGAGACTAATGATGTCTAATATTTGGTATATAAATATATATATATATATATATAAAATATATATATATATATATATGCAATTTCGCTTTTATTTGTTTATATTTTTATTAATAAATTTTAATTTTTATTTTGACGTTGCATTCATTCCGCTTGCTAATATCTAATTAATTAAATTAATATCCCAAAGAACCAGACTTGAAAGTTGTGAATTTATAAAGAAAATAAAAAAATAAAATTGAATGGAAAAATTAAGGAATTTGGCGTAGGAAAGTAAACCGTTATAATATTAATAAAAATTAATAAAAAAAAAAAAATACAAAAAGTCGTATATTAAAAATATAATTTTTAATTTTGAAATAAATAATGGAGTTAAAAAAATTGTCATGGCTGGACCTTAAAGTTGCTTAAATTCAATATTTTATTCTGAACTAATATGCTAGCATACGCAACATTGGTAGCATACAGAGTAGTAACCCGAAATTAACACCCATATAAATAATGTAATGATGGGAAGTCTTCTTGATCCGACAATGATGTAGAACTATGATAGGCCAAAGCCATTTCAAACGAAATTTAGGTAGGAGAAGGAGAAGAAGTTATTAACAAATTTGAATTAATTTCATAGGGATCAGAAATTTGTAGTGGCGCCCAACAGCTATTCCGTTGATTTGCGAAAGAAAAACGTGTAATGATTTTTATCAATTAGGATTTTACAAAAAAGAGAATTAACCAGTAAGCGGAGCAGTATAGTCGGACGGGGACGATCATACGATACCCTACACAACTACCACGAAACTCTAACTTTCAGCGTATGTTTATTCCGAGCCTGGGCAATATTTCGTCCCTCTAGCCTGATTAGAGGTCAACAGCACCTCTTCCTTACACTGACATTTTTTCCGAATATAACTATTCATATTCAGTACAGCCCTTTTAATTACTTGTCCGTGTTCCCTTCACCGTGGGTTGTGTTGTGATGTTCGGCCTATTATTGGCATCGACTCGAAAAAAACACAAAAAAAAAGTTTTCGGTCCACTTCATCCCAAAATTATTATCTGATCATCACCGACCATAACTGAACCTCATGGAACATTTCAAAGCGATTAGCGCTATATTTCCGCCCTACAGTGTGGTAATGGTTTATTAAATAATATCTGAATACGTAAGCACCTGTAAATATACTTTAGAACGAATTATTTAAAATTACTTTTATATGTATCAAACATAGAAGGTATAACTATAGATAAAGCAATGGTAATGTCATAAATTATTGTCATAGTTTGCTAAAGGAATTTAGAGGAATGGCTTAGAGGCGATAAATAGGTGCAATAAGAGAATTTGCATATTTTCATAATTGCATTTATTACATAATTTCATTCGGTTGCAAACAACCGCCGACTTTCCACTCACACGATTAGTTTTGAATTTCATTGTTGTTAGTACTTCAGACACTCTTACCAGCCTCTGTATTGGTGGTACAAAATTCGCATATGTATTTTCCAAATTATTTCGATATAAATGCAACAATGTTGGTTGATACGACCAAAAAATACAAAAATTAACTGGACAGTGGCTTTTTGGGCCATAGAAAACCAATGTCACCACCAAACACGATATACACTCAGAAAATGCGTTCTCTCTCTCTGACAATAAACCAGCATTTTAAGTTTTATGAATTGCGTTTATAAAATGCAGAAATCCCGACATTGGCAACACTTTCTGAACAATATTCTTATCATATACGAATTTTTTTTCTATATAGAGTCTTATGCCTATTGTAGATATTCGTGAAGGTCGCTCATTATCAGATCGTCTTATTACAAAAGAACTAATTATATATTTATGCGACCCCTAACAAGGAAGTTCTTCAGTCGATAAATGGTATTCCAAATATTTCATACATATAGAAATTCTTCTTTCAATAGATATACATATAAATATCTATGATAAATGGATTGGTTTGAGGTTTGGATCGTCAATTACGATCATTCCTACTTCCGGGTTTAATAACTTTTGATTTATCATAAGTCCGAGGTTATTTAAAATCTATTTTTACTTATTTTATCCTAATTTATTTTAAATATTTTTCCGTTGTGAATCACAATAACTGGTTTAGAAACGAAATACGTAATTTGAAAACGAACAAATGAAGGCTGTTTGTAATACGGAAATAAAAATGATTCAACAATAATACAAAAACTATTAACTTTTAGAAGAGGTGATGTTGAAAAATTAATTAAAAAATAAATACGCCATTAAATAACAATCGAAATGAATGGAGTTACACACTAACAAGTTTTCAATGAATAGAGGTGAAAATAGGCTATAATTATTTTTGGAATATTATTTCATTAGTTCAAGAGAGGTACAATTTCGGTAATTTGGATGTTATTATTTTTTCTTTGTTTCTTAACAAAAAGCCGAAAAAGGGTGTTTTTTTACATAATCTGGGTTTTTTTACATTTTAATGGCCTGTGATGTTATTAGTCAGATAAAAATCGTAAATTGAAATGAATATCCATTACAAATAAGATCAATTATTACCGATTTTGTCTTAAAAGGGGAAAAAAGTAATTGAAATAGTTTTTTCCAAAATTTTTTTAATTTCTTATTAAAGATTTATTTAAGTGTAAGATTTTTAATTTTATAATTCGGAAAAAATAGAGAAAAATATCGTATTGAGGTTTAAAAGGAAAGCGTGATTTTTTACTCCATATTGTCTAGATCTGCTCCCAGCGATAATTTCGAAAATTTCCGAACCAAGAACAAACTGTTTCCATCAAGGATAAATTTGTAGACTTAAATAGTTAATATATTCCAGATTCGATTATTCGGAAACCACATTTTTTACTGTTTTTCTAGAATCACCTCCACAGATATTTATGGCAAGTTCTAATAACAGTTTAAAGTCCCACATATATTACTCAAAAATTTTATTTCCAAAAAAGTATGCATTTATTTAATTATCACACTTTATTATAACAAATATAAACAACAAATTTCATGCAACAATTAAATTATCACTTAAACCACAATATAACTGTTATCAAAATGCAACAATAGATATATACATATAATTAATTAATAACACTTTGACAATTAATGTTGGCAAATTTTAACAATTTTATTTAATTAGTAGTTCATCCCAAAGATTACGTGGAACATGACGCACTAAATATTTCGAAATTGTGCCAAATAAAAAAGGTAGATATGCACTAAATATTTCATTGCTCACAATACAAAAAAAGTGAAAATAGCTACATTTTGAAAAATAAATTTCAAAAGCTAAACAAAAAAATTCTTGGACCTTGAAAACGGAATTTCAGCTGTCTATCCACCACGAACATGTTGCATGTGTGAGGTCCCACACATCATGTTAAATTGCTCTTCACCATATTTTTTTTGTTTTTTTTTTTTTTTTTTGTTTTATTTCTTGCAATTTTGTAAGCTTCATAATTTCATTTAATAGATGTTAATAAATTGTGTCAACATAAATCAAGTTACAACTCATTTATCACCTTCAAAGAAAAACGTTGGCCAAACAAAATACTATTTGAAGTTAACAAAGCCACAAACTTAAAACAGTTTAAAAGAAGTGTTAACAAAAGAGACGTCAAAACCATTCATTGTTTTTTTTTGTATTTTGTGACTGGACAATAGATAACATTTGTTTGTCTGCTTCATTGGTCTTATACGCCCAATCAAATGTGCTAAATAGCTTGAAGAAAAGGGAGGAAAATCGCCCATACAAAAAGTGTGGTAATTAATTGTCATTTCATTTGGCACTTACGCCTTTGTGAGTGTGTGTTCGAGTCCCAACCCAAATTTTTTTTAGTATTACAAAATCATCACCATTATCAATTTTTTTTAATTTCAAAAAAAAAAAACTGTAGTAAAAATCAAGTTTCAACACAAATTAACTGCATTGGCAATTTTGATTCGATTCAATGGCTAACAGCATAAAATGCTGGGCCTATTTTTTTATTAACATTTAATTAGTCTTTCGCAAGGTGTTTTTAATTGTTTTTTGATTGAAAAGTATTAAATGATGGGATAGGGTTTTACACATTTTATGAATTGTCATGTACATATATTTTTATATTTTTCCGATTTAAAAAAAAAAAATATATATATGTGAACATTTTTGCCTCTTTTATTGTAAGTATCATATTATATTTCACATTGCATTTTTCCACAATAGCGGAAATAAAATAGAAACGATTTTCTTTCCGCTATTGAAATGCTTCAAGGTTTTTTTCTTCTAAATGTCTTTATTATTGGGAATCGAAATCGTTTGAATCTAGCGGTATTTAATTATTGGCTCAATTGTCCATTCTGATCCTCATTCATTTTGTTAGAATGTTTAAATACTCTTTAATTTCGATTATCCGTTCTTACTTCTTTACGCCACTGAACTGATCAAAGTTTTCTCTACTTCATTTGTTCATAAATAATAAAATCCATCTAATTTCTCACAAATTTATTCATACCCAATCCAAGGGGAAATTGTACACTGACAGAAAAAATAATTCATATATTATATGAAAAGTGTTCAGAAATGTTTGCCAAAGTCGGTATTCCTGGATTTAATGAATACAATTCATAAAACATTAAATACCGGCTTCTTGTCAGAGAGAGAGAAAGAGACAAGACATGCTCATGTTTTGTGTCATTAGAACAATCATATACAATGTTCATCACTCAGTTGGATTTGGTCTATCCATTATATCGTAATAATTTGGAAAGAATATATGCGAATTTTGTAACACCAAATAAGAGTGTCTGAATTCC